GCCTCCCAAGTAGCTGGGACCACAGGTGCCCACCACAACGCCTGGCTATTTTTTGGTTGCAGCCGTCACTGTTGTTTGGCGGGTCTGGGCTGGATTCAAACCTGCCATCTTAGGTGTATGTGGCTGGCCCTTAGCCACGTGAGCCACAGGCGCTGAGCCAGTGTTTCTAAAGTTGAACACAATACAGTTTGAGGATGAGATGGTTGGCATTTGTCTCCCTCTGTTCTCAGACCCTTAAGGGCTCTGTTTTGTTCTGTGGTCCGAGATTAGGGAAGGTGCTCTTTGATATTCTCACCAGGTCATGTCATGAAAATACAGATATTCCTCGTGGAAAACATGTTAAGTTGAAAATTGGCTTGGTGTGCTGGCTCATACCTATAATCCTGGCACTTTGAGAGGTTGACGTCAGGAATTTGAGACCAGCTTGAGGAACAACAGGGAAACTTTTATCTCTATATAAAAATTGTATGTATACGCGTGTATATATGTGTGTCTGTATGTATATATATGTATTTATTTGAGACAGTGTCTTACTCTATCACCTTGGGTAGACTGTGATGATGTCCTAGCTCACAGCAACCTTACACTCTTCAGCTCAAGTAATCCTCCTACCTCAGTCTCCCAAGCAGCTTGGACTATAGGCACCCGCCTCATTGCCTGGCTAGCTTTTCTCTTTTTAGTAGAGGTGGGGTCTAACTCTTGCTTACACTAGTCTTCAACACCTGCCTCAGCCTCCCACAGTTCTAGGATTGCAGGTATTAGCCACTGTGCTTGCCCTATTTATTTATTTTTAGAGCCACTCTGTTGCCCTGGGTAGAGTGCTGTGATAATCTTCATAGCTTACAGTAACCTTAAACTCTTGGATTGAGCAGTCCTTTTGTTCCAGCCTCCCTACTACCTAGGACTACAGGTGTGCACCAAGCCCAGCTAGTTTTTTTTAATTTTTAGTAGAGATGGGGTTTTGCTCTTGGTGAGGTTGGTCTGGACCTCCTGAGCTTCGGGAATCCACCTGTGGAACTCCTGAGCTCAAGAAATCTGCCTGCCTTAGTCTCCCAGAGTGCTGTATCATAGGCATGCTCATCTGGCCTGCATAAAAATTAAAAAATATTAACTGGGCTGGGTGGCAGGCATCTGAAGTCAGTCCCAGGTCCTCAGCAGGCTGAGGAGGAGGCTCCTTTGAGCCTAGGAGTTTGAGGTTGCAGGGAGCCATGATGATGACGCTAGATAACAGAGTGAAACTTATCTTAATGAAAATTCTAAGTTTGATTTTCCCTAATTAAGTTCATTGTAAAGTGAAAAAATTGAAGTTGAATCTCTGGAAGTCAGGGATATCTGTTCTCTATTTTATTTCTGAAGGTTTGCCCTGAGGTATTTCAAAGACACGTCTCCAGTTTTTCAAAGACTCTTCCTGGAGAGTTCAGATGCTAACCCAGTCCGCTATGGGCGTAGGCGGATGAAGCTCCGGGACCTGATGGAAGCAGCCTACAAGTTTTTGCAGCAGGAACAGATTGTGTTCCGAGAGCTCTGGGACTGGAGCGTTTGTGTTCCTCTTCTCAGAAGCCATGACACCTTGGTCCGCTGGTATGTAGCCGTTAAGACTTTTCTCGTACTTCTAGTTGGGGATGGTGTAGTGAGTGTATGGAGTTGTGAGAGAGAGAGGAGAGCAAGAAAACCGTTCTAAATTTGTTAATATTTGTACTTAGGGCCTTTGAGTTTTTTCTTAATCATGTGCCTTGGCTCGGCGCCTGTGGCTCAAGTGGCTAAGGCGCCAGCCACATACACCTAAGGTGGCAGGTTTGAATCCAGCCTGGGCCCCCAAACAACAATAATGGCTGCAACCAAAAAATAGCC